TCATGAGTCCACATGGAGATAAATGTTAATAAATATGTAGGAGAAAAGGGATAACTCTTCCTTGTAAAATAACTCCACTTCTAGCAAACTAAGTTAAGGAAAAATATTTGAAATGTAGTTAAAGACTTAGACATTCAAAGATACTTATGTGTTAATTACAGCATTATTATAATAACTAAATATCTAAAATAGTGGTTTCTCTTTTGGTGAATTAACTTACAGTCATTATAATCTTATTTCCAGAGAATGTTTATGAGGATCTATTCATAATATAATGATACGCAAGATGTCAAAATATACATCTGTGTTTACAATGTGTATTCCCATTCAGTTAAAATGTGTCTGTGTGTGTGTGTGTGTGTGTGTGTGTATAAAAACATAGGAAATGTTCAAAATAGTTGTGTCTTATTGTAATAAGAAAATGAAAATCATACATAATCCTGTTTCTTCTTACAAATTTTCTAAATTACCACTTTTTCTAATAAAATTTTTAAAATACAGGTAAATTGGGGCACATATCATCAGTGAATGCATACCTCAAATATCTTTATCAGAAATAGTTTGGTGGATAGTATAGGTAAATACGTGACTTTAGGCTATTTGTTTGCTTCATATTAGTTCAAAAAGTCATTATAAATTTCTCTACTGCATTGCTTTATGTGACAAAAGTCATGGTAGAAACTACAAGTGCCTTTTTCCTAATTTAAGAAGAAGGCTATAAATTATTAAATAGAAAATTAATTTTTTATTAACTAATTGATTGAGTTAATCAATTCTACTCCAGTTATGCAGTAGCATCTATATTTTAAATATACTTGAACAGTTTTATTTGTACATCTATTTATAGACGTTAAGCATCTTCTTTTATGTACTATCTTCTTCAAAACATGCAGTCTATATACAATTATTTAGCATGTAAAATGTTAATAAGTGATTTAACTTTAAAATTATTTGACAATATTTACCACAATAATTTCAGAAAAATATTTTATTGTACACATTTAAATAGTGAAATCTCCTAAAAAATTATAACACAAAAAAGAATTGATGGTGAATAAAATAAATATAGACAATAAAATAAAATAATAAAATCAATTAGAGGGCAATATATTGTAGTTTGACTCTATATACAACACTTATCTAGTTGTAAGCAATTTCTATCTGGTTTTAGATTACAACCACACAATGCCTCACAATCAAATAAAAGTTACTCATCTAATCTTAAAGATAATTTATCTGCCAAATATTTTTACTTTTAAAATGCTATTTTGATCACCCAGATGCAATCTTCTGATAAAATACAACTGGCTAGATTAGGAAAAAGAATGCACTGGCATAGGGTATTTGGCCTTTTAGGGGGCATTTCAAATATTTTTTAGATATGTGTATAATTCAAATATTTTGGAAATTTATTCTCTTCAATGAAAAGTTTTGGCAACATCAAACAAAAATATAGCAAAGTCCACTGTCTCTTATCTTATTTCTGCTTAAAAATAATGTCTTGAAAAGTTATCAATGAAAATTATAAGTCACTAAAATTAATTCTTCTTACTTGCCTCATTTTCCAGAGCACATCAACAACGTCTGACCCATAGTTGATAGTCAATGTATGTTCAATTAAAGAAAATTGAAGTATACTATTTCTTTATGACACAGCTATGATAAGCTTTCATTTTAATCATATAAAGTTATGAAACTGGACTAGATTTATTAACTAATAAAACTGATTTTATTAAATAAGAAAATCCCCATATACAGTTAGACCAAGACATTCACAAGTAGTACATGATTGTACAATAAAGGAAGAGGGAGCATCTATAATAAGAAAACTTTAGAAAGCTGTAGTTTACAAATATGATTTAGAAATGGTTTTACTGTTAATCAAGTGATGAGATTGATGTTTTGCATAATTAAACTCCTGATGAAAATATGAGTAATGAAAAATCAGGAAAACAAATTGGAAAAGCATAAATCTAATTTTTTAAATGTCCATATTTTTTATGACTCATTTTCTTAAAGTAAATGAACAGATTTCAGAAGAGGAGAGTAGAACGATATTGTTTATTCTCTCCGAACACTTAAGATACCTAGCAAATAGTGTGGGACCACACTACTAGCAATTCCTACTACCAGAAATGCAGATATTTGTCTTAATGTTTGTGTCAACATTTATCAAATTTTAAAAAAGTTAAAAAGTTATTTATAGGGACACATCTGTAGTTAAAATTTTGTTTGTATTTGCTAGCCAACCTTCTAACAAGACATACATTTAAAGTCTCTATCTATCTACCTACATACCTATTTACCTATCTTTTTGTAAACACACATATACATTCACATGTGTATGCATGAATACGCAGGTGTGTGCATTTGTGTGTGTGCATGTATTCATGAAAAGCTAGCCTTGTCATATATTTTTGGAGTAATGTATTAACAGATTCCTCACAATCAGACCTTCTATGTTTTGGGGATAATTCACAAAAAATATTCGTCAGAATAAGGCAAAAATCATTCTGTCGTAGTGTTCTCTGTTCAGGAACCATTATGAGATACTCTGTCTTGTTATCCTCAATGTTTCTAAGGGCTAGTAGATGCTTGTTTTTCCTCCTAATAAAATTTTTGGGGAATGTGTAAAAGTAAATTAAACTCTGTCAGACTTTTTAAAAGAAAACACAGTTCTTCTTTCTAGAATGTTTTTATGTAGCAAGAGGGGAAAAAAATGAGCATTGCAAGCAGTTCTGAAAATGCAACTGAGATTTAATTTGATAAATGCTTTCCATCATCCAAGCCAGAGCAGTGGAAAAGTATGCTATCAGCACTTTCATCAAAGACACTATTGACTCCTCTTTTTCTATCTCATTTTATCATGACTTTCTCATTTTGTTTACTCAGTCAATGACTGGGAGAAAATGATTCCTTACCTCTTGGGTGAGATGTGACGGAGTCTGCTAATGAAGGGTCCTTTTCCCCATCTTGGCTGCCATCGCTGCCTTCGCTACCAGCATCTCTTTCAATCAGTTTATCCACCATAGCAATAATGCAGTTCAGGCTCTTCCCCACACTGGCCCACACCCTATCCTGAAAAGAGCATCAGTATCACTACACATTTTTATTGCAAAAACAAGGCAAAATCAGAAGAATCTATTTTAGAAAAGCAGTTGGAGGAACAATCATTGCAATGCAGATTGAGTGACTAGCTCTAATGCTCCCATTAATTTGGTCAGACTATTGCATATATAAGAAATCTACTTTCCTTTAATAAAGCAAAAATTAAATGTTATCCATCCTTTTAGTTAGTTTATTGTTTTTGCTTTGTCGTAAAGAAATGATGAACTACCACACAATATTAATCCATAATTGATCACAAATTATGACATTTTAAGCTGGAGATATCTATTTTATTTATCAACACTTAGTAAGAAAGCAAAGACTCATCAATATTTTTAAAGAATGGCCACTACTTGCATTAGAAATTCTTGTTTTTTTAAAAATGGTCATAACATATATGTAACAAAGTTCACCATTTTAGCCACTTTTAAGTGTAGAGTTCAGCATCATTAAGTAAATTTACACTGTTCTGCAACAATCACTACCATCCACTTCCAGAACTTTTTCATCTTCCCAGGCTGATACTCTTTATCCCTGCCTAACACATGAGCTTCCCATTTTTCCCTCTCCCAGCTCCTGAAAACCTTCATTCTACTTTCTGTTTCTATGATTTTGACTACTCTACTTACTAGAAATTCTGAAAGTGTTGTCTTCAACAGACTAGAGCATTAATATGCAGATCCCTGGGTCCTACCAAGTCAAAGCACTCTAAATTCAAATTTTGACAAGCTCCCCAGGTGCTTCTGACCATACTAAGTCTTAGAACCTCTACTCAATGTTATATGCTACAGCTACAAAATAAGTCATTTTGAGTGATTTATTTCCTAGGAAACAGCCTGTACCACTAAGGAGCCTCTTTGTCACTAATCTCAGTTCTGACTAGCACCCATTTTTGTTTAGGGCAATGTATGAAACCAAATTCTTTGGTTTATAAAAATGGCCACTAATTTTTTTAAATAAAAATTGTAAATATAGTTATCACGATGGAAGCCTGTCATCCCTGGGCTTCCCTTCTTGCTCCTCCTACATTATTTAGATGATGGCACTGACTCTCCATCCCTCTCTCTGGGCACAAGAACTAAATGGTTTTATGGTGTGTTCCCTACATCATGCTATACAGCAACCTTTCAGTAGGCACTTTCTCTGTAGCAGGGCTATTTCAGGCACCTGGAGTACCACTTAGGGTAAAGACCATACTCAATTATAGTATGTCCTTAGTGGTTTCTATATTTTTCTCCAAATGTATATTTTGTGTCCAATTTTGCTAGTTTATAAGCATATGAACTAATTTATTGGGAGGATAAATTAAGGAATAAACACTAGTTGAATTTAGGTTAGGTGACAGTTGTATGTAAAGACTAAGTATACATACATGCATACCTTACCTGAGGAAGTAACAGGGTTTTGTAGAAAAGCAGTACATTTAGAGCTAGAAAAGACTTCAAAATTACCTGCCGCTACCTATATCCTTGGAGAACCCACCTACTCCCCGGGGAACCCCACTTGTCTCACTGGGAATGATAATTCTTGCCGTACCTATCTCAGCACACTGCAGTGAAGCCAAATGCTGTGGTTTCCATTAAAGCGATTGGTGTTATAAAATTATTATAATTTGGCAAAATCACAGCCAGTACTTACAGGCCTTCCTAAATGAATCAAGCTCTCCCTCACTCTGGATTCATGAGTGTGAAGTATGCTATTCATCACAAAAAATTGTAACAATCTTTTCTCGAAAGGCAGATCTTTTCCCCAAAGAACTGAAAGCACTTCCCCGCGAAGGAAATTTAAGACACCAATCACATTCACAGATTATATCGTCTTCTGTCTTCTGTCTGAAAAAATGAGGTAGGTGCACCTCTGAGTCATGAGGCAGGAGAACTAAGGAAGCTCACCTAGTGCAGGAGGCAGTGCTGGGGAAAGGCAAGTAGCCTGAAAGTCCCGACATCACTACTATCGGGATTTGGTGAGGAGCTTACATTTCAGACCACAGTAATAAATCGAATGGCCTCTATTCTGAATATGCCTTGGTCACTACCACCAACTGCATCTTTAAGGCAATTAAATTGAAAATGACACTTTCCAGCTAATACTGGGAATAAACTCTGATGCTAAGGAATAATAGCAGAGCAGGTTCTTCTCAATTTTCCAGTTTAGCTTAGTTCATCAGTTTTTAACTCTTCCTGCTGTCCATTTTGAAAGAAACTTTACATTTTGTTCAAAGATCAAGTGGTGTTCATGCTGCCTTTCTTAGATGAAGAATACAAGGATAGATCAACTGCTCTTAATCACATCTCTGAAAAGCCTGAAAATAAAGGTATTTAAAAGATAATTTGACTTGAAATTCACACCTTTATATGGTTCTTCCTTTATAGATACCTTGGGTTACAGGCTTCTACTGGTAGACAGGTAAACTGTGCAGCCAGTAGAGAGATCTACACTGGCCTGAGAAGCATAGGGAAGCATGTTCATTGACTAAGACCTACAACCACGCAGTAAAGGGTTACATGGTAAACAGAAGAAAAACATTTAGTCATTAATGCTTAGAGGACACAGGACCTGGGAGGATGCTTGTTTTGGGGGTGAGGAAATTAAGCAGTCCCTTATGTAATAGGAATACAAAATTTATGCAAAATCAAATGTTTTCTTGAAGGCCCACTCAACAGCAGACCCTGAGAAAACTCATCCTGCTCTTTCTTTTTCTTTTGGAGAGTAGATCCTGCCTAGCTGCTAGAGAGAGAACTCAGAGCCTTGCTGGTCTCTCCCTCCTTCCCTTTTATGCCCTTTACAGAAAAAAGTTATTGATCTGTGCCTCTGCCTCTTAATACAGATTATGAGTTATTTTAGAGCAGTGTCCTTACTATGTAGCATGGGATGCTTAGCCCTCAATAATTTTTGTTGAAAGAAAGGAAGGAAGAATGGCAGAGAAAGAGGGAGGAAGCAAGGGAGGGAGGAGAAAAGGGCTGTCCAACCCACAGACAGATTGAGGGCTGGTATTTATATATACTCAGTATACGCACTTTAGCTAACTTAACCTTCAAAAACCACCAAATAAGATCATTCTTATCGACTCAGTTTTTAGAGATGAAGAGACCTCAGGCAAGAGATATTGAATAACATTCAACATTAAAATGGTATCAATGCGGCTGGTCCAAGTGCAGTGGTGTTTATAATTAATTGATCACAACCAGTTACAGATCCCTTTGTTCCTTCTCCCCTCCCACTGCTTCACTCGACTAGCCTTTAAAAAAATTTTTTTTAATTAAAAGGTTTTTAAAAATCGTATAAATGGACCAGAAATTCCATTCTGTTTGGCTCCAAAGACTTGATTCTTCCACTATGATCTCCCACAGAATTGTGGCACAAAGAACCACAAACTACACTAAGGGAAGTCAGGAGAAGGAGCCCAGAAGGAGAAGGTAGAGATATGTGCCTCCTCACAGGAGCAAGATAAGGTTTTAGTCATCTGAGACTTGCAGATGAGTCCAGTGGAAGATCTTGGACAAAGAGATGACTCTACAAAAAGGACTGGGCAGGTCGCATGTACCCTTAGGTCTGAGATCAAAAGTGTCCTATAAGCAGGGAGAGAGCAGTCACTTGGTTAAAGGGCCAATCAGCTTGGGTCAAAGGACATAAGTGGCCTGCATTAATAGAGGAGAGTGTTAGGATCAAGGTCCAAAGTCCATTTGTGTAACCACAGTATAAAGCAGGGTGTGGGTTACAAAGAGGAAAGATGATAATCCAATTACAAGGACACTAAAGAGCAAGGTTGTCAATTATTTTGAAACTAGGATGCTAAAGAAGGGAAGGCAAGATTCTTGAAAGGGGGCCTTGAATCTTTGAGTCTTCTCCTAAATAAGCTCCCTTCCATTAAATCTCTGTGGAAAACATGCACGGAGGAAAATTACCAGCCAAAATACATTCTCATTCTGATGATTTTTACTCACTATGCAGGTCCACAGAGGAAATTCTTTTTACTTAGATTGCTGGGATGGCTGGGGCCTACTCGTCTTTCTTCTCTACTAAAATCACACAATTAGTTTCAGATTGCTCCCTTGATGAAGGCAGGCTGATTAGTGGGAACAGAATGGAAGCACAAGAACATGCTGCAGGACACAGGGCTCCTCGTCCCTCCCCTGCTCAGGCCAGGGGAGCGTGAACAGCCTCCAGATCCTGTGTAGCTCCCCTGGCACATGAGAAGGTTTAAAAACAATCAAAAAAACAGACTACTGGGCCTTTTCCCCAAAAATACCAGCCATATTTTGCTAGGTCTCCTGCTATATGAAGGTAGTAATGGGAAATCAGTGGGTTAAAGTCTCATCTTTATTTAACTGACAAAATAACCACATTGTAGCCTTTACAACAACCCTAGTCCTTGTAGGAGAAGTGACTATAAACTTTTTCTGGTCAATAAAAGCACAAAGTCAGTGGGAAACTAGCAGCAATATTTATTTCATTCTGAGTCAGGTGCTCGATTGGTCCTTATTGATTTCTGGGTTAGGACCAAAGCTAACATGCAGGTCAAGCTCCATGGCAGTGGATGCAAAAATTGGATGGATGCAGCCAGGGGACATTACACCTGGCAGAGTGAGCCATGAGGGGAGGGGGCAAAATGCCTACTCAGCAAGCCACACATTTATGAGCTTAGTAGGGTCAAGAGGAATCCTGACTGCTTTGGATCAGTAGTTAACTTAAAAAAAATATTTAGTAATGCTTGGTTGATCAACTTTTCTAAGGCCAATTTTTCATCAGCAAGAATGTGAAGACTAAACCAGACCTGATACGGAGGTGTAAAATAGCCCTGTCGTACCTGTATTTCCATGCATAATTTCCCTCTTGTCATTACCAATTTCTGAGGACTTTGATTAGAAAGGCAGTGAATTAACAAGGCCAATCCCATCTTAGAAAAGAAGCTTCAGTTTATCCTTGAGTTGATTGAGAGCAATGTGCTCTACATTGGCCAAGTTCCTTAA